AAGAAATTTTACTTTAGATAGAAACTTTAGAACATTCTTAGAGCATATTATGCATTATCAACCATAAGTCGAGTATTCCCTTATAATTACGCGTGCATGAACGTCATTGAAACGGAAAATGGCTTCTTATTTAGGAATTTCATAATAATGCATTACGACTTTTGTATGTTTTGCTTATACGAGCACAATTTCTTATTACGTATATATTTATATTTCACATTTTATAATGTTATATTATATAATGTAATCTACGAGGAAAATACCTATAAATTTTGAAAAATCAGAATTTATACCGAAAGAAAAAAAAACAAGCAGTTCATTTCAGATATTCATTTCTTTCACGTCATTTTTTTCCTCATATTTAAATAACGAGGTCATTCAATCACCAACTTAACCCACAAATTAACCCTTAGAATGCTTGCCAAGTTGTCGATCCGAAAAAAATGTTTTTCCTTCTTCTATAAAAGCTTCTTGACACGTATTGAAAAATTGTATATTCGCAATATTACTTGACGTCGAATATTAAAAATAAAATAATCATAAAGTAATCACGAGAAATCGTTTTATAAAAATAGTTTCGCAATTCTATTTTTAAAAAAGAAATTCCTCTGATATTAAATATAATAAGAAGTAAAATTATTATTTAAGCAAAATTATTAGTTAAATTCATATTATTATCAAATAAATTAACCGTTAAAATACTAAAACAATTTGATATTATTAAACAAATAATAATTTTATTTAAAGAAATATTTAAATGTGCAATTTTAATGTAAGTATACATTTATTGCGATCTTACATTCTTATATTAGCGTAACGTAATATAATAAGCCAAATATAAAAATTAAACATGTCGAAATGATTGTGGTAATACAAAACGAGAAAAATGACATGAATAAAAAATACCTAATTTTTTTACAAATAAATTTCTCTGTAAAAATATGCGATCGCAAAAATTCTTTGACGAGATTTATTACGATCTCAAATTGCACAGCGTAACGTGGAAGCATTTGGGAACTAAACGTCGCAAGCGAGATTGAATTATGAAATGGTAGAAAAAGCAGTAAAAGTGAAGTGACAAATTACAATTACGATAAAGAGAATCATGATTTTATGTAAACTTTATAAATCTCAATCATATTGTATAATTAAGCAATGTAAGATAAGAGATAAATGTTAAAAAAGAAACAGAGAGGAAAACATACAACGGGGAATTACACAAGTAACGAAGCATTCGTTCAAATGGTATGGTCTTGAATTCATAATGAAAGACCTGCAGCTTCAATCGCCAAAAGGAAATTATGTTATATGTTATATCCCAAATATAAGTCACTTAACATCATAACTCGAAATGTGGACAACTAAATTTAATTTCTTTATCTATAATAACTTTAATATTTGATTTTAAACGAAATTATTCCAAAAATTAATTTTATTAAAAAATATACACTATTAAAGTAACTAAATACAGACACCGATTAGATTGTGATCAAAAATAATTAATTTTGATAAATCTGATTAAATTAATACAGATTACTGTAAAAGATATTCTACATAATATTTTAGATCTTTAAATATATGTAATTGATATCTTCTTAATTTTCGACATAAATTATTTTCTATTAATGTAAAATTAATTTTATAATAGCAAGATTTAAAAAAAAAATTCTTTTTATTACTATTGTTTCATATTTTTAGAATAAACATCTAATTCTAATTTACTGATATTTTACAGCTGCTTCAATCTTTATCAAGCAATGATTGTTGAAAATGTCTTGTAGAAAAGTTATAAAAAAAACGAGAGTTTAGTGCATTACAATCATGAATAATCGACGACAGTACAACCGACCTTTAAAGACAGTAATAAAGCAAGACCTCTAAGGATTCATAGCTCATAATGTCTATATTTGCACGTGCAGGTCCTTTTAGATTATTAATCCTCAGAGATAGAGAGACACGTTATCATATAAATAGCCAGCTATGATACAAATAGGAGCATTTATATGATCGATATTTTATAAAATCAATAGATTTATGTGTGCATCAGAATTTAATTAATTAATGATTTTTTTATTAAATCAAAATTACATCTAGGAAAATATTCTATAATATCTGCAATGTCTGCAATATTTGCAGAGATGGGTAGTAACTAGTTAAAATGTTAAAAAAAAAGTTAAAAAGTTAATAACTTTTAACTTAACTTAACTTAGTTAATTTCAAATGCATTAATTTTTAACTTAATTTATTTACATTTAAACTTTAATTTATTAACTTTTTTTAAATTAAAAAATTTTTTATCTCTCTTAATATTTTTTTTTCTATAAACAGTAGAAAATTAAATTAGAAAAAGTTTAATGATTATATGATGAGATAATAAGAGTCACACCATACAGTAATTTTTATTGACTCACTAAATTTTGTCAATTTTCGCTTATATTTGAATTACACTAATTTTAGATATCATAAATTTCAGCAATTTAAATATGAAATGAGCCTTATGTTAGATAAAGAATTGTTTTTGTAGAACAGTACTACTCATCCACCCATTTTCTCAATTCAAAATTTTTATGTATATTTTTTGTAACAAATATATATCTAGTCGTAAACATGTATGAGCAGTCGTTTTAGAAGTTAAAGAAAGTAAAAGGTTAATGAAAGAGAAATAAAGCAAACATATACCCTTCTCTTTCGCAAGATTTTAACAAAAACGTCTTATGGTGTGACTCTTATATAAATAATAACTTATATGTTAATATAAAATTAAATTTACTTAATAATTTATAGTTGTAAGTGTTATTTAAAGTAATCTCATTTTTAAAAAAATTAGGACATTCTGATCTCAAAAATAATTTTTTTCAAAATTAACTTTTTTTTAAGCTTAAGTTAAATTCTATCTTAACTTAACTTTTATTAAGTTAATTCTTTATTCGTTCAACTTTTAATTTAATTTTATTAATTTTATAAGCCACTAACTTTAATTTAATTTAGTTTAAAAAAACATTAACTTACCCAACCCTGAATATTTGTTATACCTCATTTCTAAAATTGTATTAAGGAAAATTTACTTACAGATTAACTACATAAAGCTCTCGCATCATCTAATCATGTATTTAAAATTTATTAATAGAGTTCTAAATCTTCTAATGTTTAATATTCTAATTTTTAATGTAATATTTCTAAAATTTTTTCAAAATAAATTTTATTTTAATTTAAAAAAATTGATAATAAATAAATCTAAAAAAAATGACGCAAAAAATTATTACATTTCCACATATTATTAAATCCTTTCCCAATTCTTTTATACCTTTTTAATTTAATATATTTTATAAAAAAATTCTTGTTAAAAATTAATTTTTTTTAATTTAAAAGAAAAAAAATTTTCTTACTTTATTTTATAAAATTAATTTATAAACCTTTATATGATAGTATGAAAAAGAACGTTTCACACAAAATGTACAAAAAGAAAAACCTACCTCATCACGGTAATCCATGTTGTTACTACCATGGTCATTCCGCGCTCATCGTTCCTTCAAAATTTCATTAGCAAACTTAACAAAAGCCGGATCCGTTTTAAACTTCGTAATGGCTAATTAAAGAAGACATGATCGCCACGCTTTTACAGCAGTTTAAACTGCTATAATTGCATTGGTGACGACAAAATAACTGTATAAAACTACAGCGAACAACCTTTAATAAATTATCGAAAATTTAATTTCATCAATACACTTTTCGTTCTGTAATAGGATTAACATAATAACAGCAGATGCACGTAAATGGCAGCTCAACGAAAATGTCGTCAATATTTTATTCTTTTCAATATTTATTATTCTAATCGAATGACATGAAATAAGATAAAAATTACGTAAATTATCGTG